TCTGGTTTTAATGAACACATCCATTATATCAGCAATAGTTATGGCAACAGGAGTTATGTACGTTGAGGCAGCATCTCTTGTGCCTTGTAAACACCTCAGCCTTCTGTCAGGGCCCCCACTGGGGCTATTTACAGCTTCAATATTACAAGGTAGCTACTCTCTAATTATACACAACTGGATTGGTTTCCACCACTCAGGTCCTTGGCTAACCCTTAATAATAATTAATTTTTTACTGTTACACTGTATATCAGCTTAAAACTTTCAAGATGCTAAAGTATCCCAGCAGAGTAGAAAACCTATTGAGATATCAAGACATGCATGCTTTGCAACTTCTGTTTTCATTAGTGGCAAAAAGCCCCACAGAAAGAGAAAATAAAATAAAAAGGGAGCAGCACAAAGACACTGAAACTGGGACTCAGAGCTTATACAACACTTGCATTGCAAGAGGTCTGTTGGCCTCATTTACTTTCTTTTTCTTTTTTTTTTTTTCACAAAGACCAGTGCTCAGGACTTGGTTCCAACATATGAGTATGTTAATCAGAGCTACATTAGTCAGTCTGTATGTGACACAAAACTTGCTCAGTTGCTTGAGTTTTCCTAGTGCTAAGCTTGGAGGGATTTTGTCTTGTCTGTGAGGCCTGCAGTTTTTATGTAGGCATTTATTTAAGTTTTCTTGTAAACAGCAATGGCCTGCTTAGAGCCGATGAGGTGAAAAGAAGGGAATATCCACTGCCAGCACAGGACAGTGCTTCACAGTGATGACCTTTGAACAAAATGATCAAAATTACTCTAGGACTTTCTAAAGAAAAAATAAAGGAAAAGGTGAACGAGTGGGACCAGGAGAAAGAAAGGAAAAGAAAAAAAAAAAGGAAGAGGTGAAAGAGTGGGAAAAAAATGGAAAAAATCCCTCTGTTAATATTATTCTCCCAAAATTCCTCCCCTTTCTTCCCATAGCATCTGATTAGAGCCATAGACTGGGCTCTGCTTTTTTTTCACATGTTGCAATCAAGCAAATCAGGGAACATGCATTTCTCTCAGTCCAGGAAATATTCAGGAATACAGAAGAACAGCTGGTGAGAAGTGAATGTGGAGCCATTTGACAGGAAGGAAGATCTACCCCTGAGAGCAATTCCAGAGGAAATAAACATCAAAATGAATAACTTACAAGGCACTGTAACCTCATTTGTTGGCAAATTGAATACTCTTACCACACATAAATATTCTTGAGCAGAGATCTGATCTTGTGGACTCCCAGCTATTAAACAGCACAGTTTTAACAGCATGCAAGGAGAGGTTGAACAAACATATCGGCTGTAAAACTCATTAATGAGCTACCCTAAACCAGTAAATTTGATAGTACAAATGCTAGAAAATCAAGTCAGGTCTCACTGTATTCACACATGGAAGAACTGAGGAAATAGCAGGGAGATCACCCCAAATGAGGTGAAGTAGCTCTGCTGAGTGAGCTGTGAAGGGACAGGATGCTCCTGCTTTTCAGAACTAGTCACAGGTCCTCTTCAGCAGGAAGTGCAGGGATGATGCATTGCTCAAATTTGAAAGGTTTGTAAGCAACACACAGGCATTTGGGGGTGACCTCTTCTGCACTTTGGTAAGCTGAGAGTGCAACAGGGGGATGGTGACTTCTGCATCGAAAGCTGGAAGGAGGTAAAAGCAGATGGACTGGTAGATTTATAGCACTACACCCAGAGTGCAACTGTGGTAGATACTGGAATGGGAGACTGCTAAAACAGGAGGACTCTCAGTTTCTCTTCTATGTGTCTTCAGGCTAAAGCTGACTAGATATGTTTTCCTGTACCACCTAAAGGGAAAGGCATTAAGGGGAAAACAGCCTATTTAGGGTATCTTCAGGAAGACAAATACAGATTAAGATTACAGCTTTACAAGTTCTGGGAGCCATTTCTAAAACTCTGTTTTAGCCAGCAAACTTATTACATTATTAAATAAGCCTTAGGGTATTCATGGAAATTTGCTTTTCTTTCTTTACTTTTAAAGCTTCAAAAACTGTAGCAAGTGCATGTAGCATTGTGTGTCAGTCCTGACAATGCAATTTACAGGATGCTTTTGTTGCATCCTCTCTCTTCAAACCCAGGAGAGATGACTGTGGTTTCTTTAATGGTAAGGTTTTCTTACCATTAAGATTTATCAAAATGACTAAAACAAGGGGTTTTTTTCCTGTGGATGTGAGAACACAGAAGCTTTATTGTCACATTTTCAAAAGGCATATTTTTAGAGACCATAAACTTTTCAACACAGTTTCTGTATTTCTGAGCCTCGATCATACTACATTAATTGTATAGTTGCTCATTTGCCCATGCAAATGTCGCCACTGGGTATCTATGCTTGTGGATGAATAGGAATGTATGAAAAATGAAAGCCATTACAAATTCAGCCTCATGTACCTGAAAATACACAAGAAAGAACAGCTTTATAACAGCTCTTTTCTACCAATATATTCAGGGTTTATTTCTTATATTTTTTTACAGGGAGGTATAGTAAGGTTTATGAGCTTTTCTGAATTTGCTAATGGACTTATCTACTAAAGCAGGACCTTGAAATATGCATGTTCTTTGCTCTAAATGAATATTTTTTGCCATTTTCTTCTTTGAAAAAATGCACATTCTTTAAATTTATTTAAATAACTTCCAAATCAATTTTGGTTTGTTTTTAATTTTTCAGTTGTATAATGTGGGTCAGAGGCAACAAGAAATAATTTGGCTTTTCCTAAATACTACCTTACAAAATTTTGCACCAACGTATTGAGCAAAAGGCAGGATAGAGGGAGGACTGTGACAGAAATAGCAAGAAAGCAGCTCCAGAATGTCTGGCAGGGATATGATGTGCAGCATTATAATGCCATCATATCCTCTCAGCATGCTGCTTTATATAAGTTGAAGATGGTTGCTCGCCTTGCCAATTGCAGCTTCCAAAGGGAAAGGAGTATATGGTAGGGTTCTTCTATCTAATGCTTAAAATCAATTTTTCTCTATGAAACTCAGGTTTTGGAAGTTTTTTTTCTTTATAGAACAGCTTCAGATATTGTTTTTTGTTGGGTTTTTTTTCACTTCTTTTTCTGCTTTTTCATTTTTTTGCCTATGTCTAGGCAAGCTAGCTTTCAATAGTTCTATTTTTGCTTTTCTCCACCTTTCCATATTCTATACCTTTTCATGCTTAGTAAAAGTTACAGTGACAAAAGAAGGAGGTGATGCAGAATTTTTGCTCTGCAACTTGAAAACACTGCAGAATATTTGAAAACTGGATAAGCAGAAAAAAATAAGAAGATGAAAACAAAAATTTTTAAAAGTTTTGGTTTTATTTTTTTAAATTTTTTATTTATTTTATTCAGAGCAACAGAGGGAAAACCACACATTTATTTTTTAAAAATGTTTAATTTTTTTAAATACTGAAAGAATAATATTTGTGTTTCCAAATTTTTCCCAAGTTCCAAGGTGAAAATAATTATGGTATTTATAAACCCAAGTAAATCCATCTCTTTAAAATAAAGTTCAAGCATGAAGGGAACATTTAGTTGTAAAACCTTGATCCTTCCTACTAAACCCTCTTACTCTAGTCACTAATACCTAGATTCTCAATCATGCTTCTATTTCTGTGGTCCCACTGCTGAACAGAAGCTCAGTGGTCGGTTAAAAGCACAACGTCTTTCATATGTACTGGTATGATGATTTATAGTTCATAACCTATATTATAAGAGAATAAACTGTATTGCCTACAGGCAAAAATCAAAGAAAAGCTTACTGCATAATCTAATAAAGTGCCAAATCATAAGTCCGTGAATTGTTTTGTTATTTTAAAAATATATTTACACAAAAAAATCTATAGGCAGTCACACAGTACTTAAATCACAGATTTATCAATTAAGAAATTACACTGCAGTTTAAGACACGAGCTCAAGATTCAGACAGTCTAATGTGTATCCCTGGGTTCTGCCAAGGGTTCATCACTGCAATTTGTGAACTCTACTCTCTGCATGAGGAATGTCAATAGCCACCAGGTTGTCTTCAGGAGTGTTTGGTAAAATGAAGGTTAAATAAGTCAGTGTTCACTGGGAAACTGTTTCAAGCAGAGTACACTCATCCATGCAAGTGGCACAGGTATGGCATTGCTCTGCTGTCAGCCTGAGTTAATGGCCAATTTGGCAGCCCTGCTTCTCATGAACCATGAATGAAATCCTGGTCCCAAAAAGGTAGTGGTGAAACTCCCACCAGGTGAGTAAGAAGGGAATTATGTTACACCTGCCACCTTCCAATGAAATGCCAAAGTTTATACTCTTATCATACTGCCTGAAGCTGGATGTGAGATATTGTCATTATATGATAATGACAATGAGATATGTCCTTGGCTTGAGTTTCATCTATTTTGTTACTATAATCAATTTGTTTGTAAAATAGGTGTAAAGTTTACAATTTCACAAGGAATCTTACTGCTTTAAATTTATACTTCATGATGAAAATGACTCTGTGAATGCAAAAGAGTAAAAATTCATGTGAAAGTTTCAGCTTCTACCCTCAGAGTTCATGTTTATGTAGCAGCAGATTGAAAACATTACGAGAGGCACTCCAAATATAGACCTCCAGAAGTCAGTTTAAAACCCCCGCCAATGCACTCCCTAGCAATATTCTCCTATTGCTCTGCTGAATGCTATCAAATGATGTGATAATAAAAGAGACACTGCAAATGGAGCCACAGCTAATAAATTAAAATAAAATAAATAATAGTAAGTAAAAATAAATAAATTTTAAAATCACCCACCACCACCACAACAAAAAAATAAATGAAAAAAAACCCTGTAGCTCTTCATTGCCATTTGAAAAAAATATCCCCTAGTGTTTCAGATAAATTCTCATCTTCTTGAAGTGATCTTTCCACGAGATGTATTAATATATTTTTAAAAACAAACTCGCTGACACACTGCAAATTCCTTGTTGACTTATTTGGCAGCCCCTGAGAGAACATCAGGAGAGCTTTATTTGGAAGGACACTGGGGGAGAGCAGATTAAACAGACTTTTGACTGTATTCAATTTTCTCTAGTTTGGGGAGATTTTGCACCTTTCTTGAAGATTGTATCAACTGGGATTAGCGCATTCCATTTCCTGCACTCCTCATAAGGCTGAGAACTAAAGAAAATTAAAATAAAGGTCAGTGAACTTGGCTACGCTTTTCTCTGGCTAAGAATTTGTCCATATGTTTGCTTCTTTTTGCCTTGATCACACTTTATTTTGGCAGGCTCTATGTATGCATGCATGTGTAGTGCTTTTATGGTTTTCCACTATGGAACTGCTGTGTGAATTCATTAGAATTCAGCTCACTTCCATTCACTTTGTGGAAACAATTTGTGTGTAACTTTGCTTTTAGTCTTTCATCAAATTTGCTCTTACTCAGTGATGGAGTAGCCCAAGGTATTCCTTTTTCTGGCTTTGAGCTGGCAATGCTTCTTTCCCCCTCAGTCCCCCAGGATCCTGCATGTCCTCTCCTGTTTGGCCTGCACAGAGACTCACTGTCCTGCCTGTCCTGCTGTGCAAATCATTTACAGCCTCCCCAGGAGCCTCCTTCCTGCCACCCTGCAGTGTCAGCAATGGGATTTTGGGAACACTTGTCCCTTTTGTTCCAGACCAGGGCCACTAAACCTGTGTCACAGTCCATCAGTCAGTTGCTTGGTAGTTAATTTGGGTCATTTGAGACTGGATTTAAATCACTAACCCAGTTGTCACTACCAATGTCCCGAGCCAACTGCTAATCTTTGTGTATTTATATACCTGTTTTTTCTTACTGTAGTTCTGAAAATATACACAAAGGACTTTTTTTTTTTTTTTAATAGATACCAACAACCACCCCTTGGAACAGGTCTGAGATCAGGCCTGACAGCTTTAACCTGTACTTGCTGGCTTATGTACAGGCTCTGGAGACTATGTGGCAAATTCACAGAGGATTTCCATTGTGAAGGTTTCATAGCTAAAACAGCCCACAAGCACCAGGCAGGAAGGAAGCAGGTCCTCAGCAGTGCCCACACAGGGAAAGGAGAGCAGGGGGACATGAGGGGTGCCTTCACAGACCTCCCTGGCCTCAGACCAGGCTTCCTGTGCTTGCCCGCAGTGCACTGCCCTTGCCATTTTGCTGAGTGTTCTGAGGCTCTTTGCCAGTTCCCCATTAGTCTATCATAATGAGATTCAGCTTCTGTTTGATTTCCCTGATGAGTCTGAGCAGCAGAGCCCAGGAGAAGTCAAATAAGGGCAGGGTACTTTGGGCGACCAGAGCTGAAGTGTGGCTGAGCTTGACTAAACCTACAAGGGACAGCAAAGGGTAAAACAGCTTACACTTACTTAGTGCTTTTCTTCCGCCTGCCTCTAAGTCCACATTCTAAGCATCTTGGGTCTACAAGGAGCTTTACCACATCTGTTCATTAGAGATTCTTTTAATTTCCTTTTTTCTTTCTCACTAATATATTTCAAGTTAATTTCGACTTAAATCTCACTAACTCTGAGGTTGCCAGCATTCCTCTGTGAAGGGAGACCTGCTCAAAAAGCTCACCCTCCAGTTTCACCCTTCCATTTCACCATCCCATTTCACAGAAAGTCCAGCTGAGTGAAAAGTCATGTGAATTCTGTTCTCTGGGCTGTACCACAGTATCTGTAACTCAAAACATGGTAAATCTTTGGGAAGTACAAAACATCTGGCTCCCACTGCTTGAGTTCTTGCTTTATAGTGCAGCTCAAGTGAGCAAACTAATGCATGAATTTGCCATCTGTAATTCCTGCTTAGCTAAGAGATTAAAAAGGAAGATTAGGATCAGAATGAGGGAGATTTGAAGGTATTATGGGCAGCGAAAATGTTAAATATTTGAGTAAGTAAAATACGGAAATGAATATAGGGTTTAGGACTTTAACATATGTCAGGAAAACCTTCTTGTCAAAGTTCCTGCCACAAGTTCAGGAGTCCAATGACAACTGCTGAAAACATAATTCAGTACTGCAGAGATTAGGAGCAGTTTGCAGACATTTTGTACTCAAGGCCTACTTAGCTGCTTCCATTCATGGAAAACCTGGCACTAGGTTAAGCACCATCTGCAAAGCTCAGTGATCTCATGAGGCACTTGGGAAGATGTCTATTTCTCATCACATGTGTAATTTTTACTAGAAAACAGGCCGTGGAGAAACCTGCAAATCATCAAAACCTATGCTGTCCGAGGAAGGCAAGAAGAAACACTGCCCACAATGGCTAGACACTCTCCAACTGCAGCATGGAAAGATGTGACTTACGAGAGAGATGCTACAAAAAGTGATACCTGAAGCACTAAATGCTAAAACATAAAAAATAAAGCATGCATAAAATGAAAATGGATTGTTACCAACCCACTATGCTGGGCCAGGACTGGTGGTGTCAATATATCAGTGATCAAGAATAACCAACAATTACAAGGCACTTTTGCTACTGTGGATGCCACTGTGAGACACTTTAAAGGGCATGACAAAGCTAAGGCAATTTACAAAAGAAATTAGCTGGTGGAAAATATATACTGAGAGGAATTTTTTAAGCACTTGTGCTAATTGTTTTGTTTTACAATAGTAACACACCGTATCAGTCACATTAGCTCATCAAATCCTCATTTTGGTCATACAGCTGCGGAGAAAAAGTTTGACTTACAATGCGTTAAAAAATGGAATAGAAACTAATATTTAAAACTTCATCATGTCATTATATACAGTGACACTGAAGCACGATCACTTGGTATTCTGTTCTGCTCATTTTCCTGTGTCAGTTATACGGCAGAAATTAATAAAGATGCAGGGTCTGGATATGAACTAATATGTAACTGTCCTGACACTTCTGAGTTCAAAGGACAGGCTCTCCTTTTGACTTCATTGTGAACTGATGAATGTAACTATTAATGAAAAGAAAATGAACCTGAGCAACAAAAAGGTAATGCCATTTCTCTCTTCCTAATCTATTGAAGAAATTATGTCTTCAATTACATAAATTAAACTATGGCCACTTCTTTTCCCAGGTCAATGACCACCCACGTTACCTTCTTCTCCCCAGTCTTCAAAGTTAAGAAGAAACACAGTACTAAAAAAATCATACTTCATACATTCCTACAAAAAAGTCCCACTATAAAAAACTGTGTCAGAAGGCCACTGTTTTCCCTGTGGAGTTATGTGATGACCTGCAGCCTATTATTGGAATGGATGGCAGACAAAGTCTGAGTAATTGGAAACTGTGATGTAGATGATGGTAGTGGTTCTGTGCCACAGCCATGGTGTGCTAAGCTTGCACCCTTTAGTTACTGCAGCTCTTGAAGGATTCAGCTAGGCAATCACATATATCAGGAGCTTAGTGCAACCAAGTGACAAATAGGGATAATTGGTGCAGATCAAATGGGCTTTCATAACGTCCATTCACAGGCATGGGCAGACAATGTCTTTCTAAGTAAGGAGATGGCAAGGCATGTGTGAAAAATTATCCCTTTGGCAATAATTCTGCTGGTGACAGATAATCAGAAATTTAAACATTATTCTCATCTTTGGAGAGCTCCTAAAATAATGGAGGATGCATGACACCATTTGTATTTGAAGAGAGAAGCTAAATAATTTAATATTATAGAGCAGGATGCACAGCCCTGGACAGAAAAATGATGAAATCCCAGTGCAGTCTATCTCATGCTCTTGCCACACTAATTACAAATCAATTACTTTTCAGTTGTTTGCAACCTTATCAAAGAATAGTAAATTTACTGAAAGCAAAATGTGATAAGATGTCTTTTCATTATTATGGTAGATTTGTTGAAACAGCTCTGGCGTTGAGATTAATAAAAGCTTTCCCAGAGGTAACATGATCTGTATATATATAGTCTGAATTTTAAAAGCTGAAAACTTGATCCTAGGCAGTATCATAAAAATTTTTGCTTCTATTAATTGTTATCATGAAAATATCCTTAGCACAGAGGAGGTAGAGGAAAGAACAAAATTAATCTGTTGATAAATTGAAAGCTTGTTATTAAAATATAAGTGTACCTTTTGCCTTCCACAGATCAGATAATTAATGAAAGTGAAGTACAAAAACTGAGAAAATCTGCAATTCATGTTTTGAGTAGGGTGACAACACAGAGAAGTGCAGGAGAAAAAGGGATGAATTTTATAGAATATTAGCATGGAGGGAAGAAAGCAGTGAACCTACACAGTATAAAAAATAATTAAATAAAGTTCTGCAGTTTTAGAAGAGCCACTAACCAGCAAAATGTATTGATTTTCCCCACAACATTTCCCATGTCTTGACCACTTCACCAGAATTTCCATTGACTTGCCACATAAATACTGAGATCTCTCTTGGCATAAATTGCACATCAGCAACATTAAGTTGCACTTTCTACACTTGCTCTGAAGGTAAGTGTATACATTTTTACTGATCCCAACTTTTGAAATTCTGGAGAATTATTTTGATTGCAGTGCTAATGTCTTTCAGGTCTTCTACTGCATTCTGGATAGGTTTTGGTTTAGGTTCTGGTTTTTGTTTGCTTCTTTTTTGCTTATTTGTTGGTTTTTGGTGGATTTTTGGGGTGCTATTCCTGCCAAAATTGGCCAGACTTGAGAAAAAATAGTCTAGCTTGTAGGCATAATACTTTAATAATTTAATGTTTTTGTTGTTTTGATGACTAAAATACCATAACCATTACTTTTTACTGACCTACTCCCCTGCAACAACCTAGTCACTCTTATCAGGAGTGGATCCTACTGCACCATGTATGACTCCAGGACAGTTTGATGAACTGATGAGTTCAAATGAGACTGAAGCTCTGGTCATGTTCAGGAGAGGTGACACAACTGTCCCTAACTTTCAGCAAAGGGGACAATTTTTTGGCAGCCCTTCAGTAGAAAAACTCAAGAATTCTCCATGGCAGGACTCCAAATAACATTTCAGGAAGCTGGTGATTCAACATATCTGGTTCAGGTAAGAACAGATTTTTCTGCAGTCCTCATTATTGTTTGGTTTTATCAGTTCAATAACTTCTTAATTCTTCCAGTCTTAGAGTGGAAAAGTAGAGGTTCACTGATTTCTACTGGAGTTGGATCAGGTCCTCCATTTAGAAGAGTCTTTCCATTAACTGGCCACAGAGATGACATAAGTTGAAGCCATCAATACTGGATACTATGGCTCTAAATGCCCAGAAAATAACAATGGAATGATTCTTTACTCCACGGCACTCTGCCATGTATGAAAGGGCAATAAAAATTAATTTGTTAATGGTGGTAAAGTGTTTTAAAGATAAAAAAATACAATTGAGATATGATGTATTCAGCAATGATTTTTTTCTAAAGAACATTAATTAGGGAATAAAATGAACCATTATTTTAGTTAGCATATACCCCCGAAAATAGCAAAATAATTATGTTTAATTCAGCAATTAATTTTTTTTACTAAAAAATTGCAAACACAGTTTAATGTGCCAGAAATTTATCAAGGAGCAATTTCATCTCTTCAATAAATATGGCTTTCCACAAGTAAGTCAGAAGAATTTAGTCAAAAATTCAGTGTCAAACTCACATAGCTTTGCCCGTATTTTATCAGGATGTGTGAACCATGCTAGGAGACTCTGAAATAGACTTTGGGGTTTATTTAAGGATATAAAAAATAGATTCCTGAAACCTCCCTCATCATTTCCTGTTTCACTTAAGCAAATCTTTCTCAGAGGTTTAGATCAAATTTCTGTGTGCCTAATTCTTCTGCATTCAATGCAAGCTTGAAAGATAGGATTTAACCCAAGGAAATGCTTGGGCTCAGATTCTGAAAGACTGATTGTTGACTGATTTCCCCTGTCTCATCTGTGGATGTACCACCTAAGGATCTGGCCATGTAACTTCATCAAGGTAACCCTAACCTGTGTGATTTCTGGTGATGAACCTTGAATTGGAAAGATGCTTCCTATGCAACCATGTCTGAGGTATCATTGCTAACACTCTAACAGTCACTCACATCACTGAAAAAGATGGAATATATAGTATTTATACATTATAAATACTATATCAATGTGCAGAAAAGGTCACTTTTCCACCTTTGCCCTGCTGTGGAGGATGTATTTTGCTTCAGGTACTCTCAGAGGGATAAATCATCTTCTGGAACTAGAGCTTGTTTCAGGTAGTGGGACTGGGAGCTCATTCCAGTTCTGCTTAAGGACCCTGAAGAGTTACATTAATTTCAGGGATTTAAACTGTGGGAGACGGCCACGGGGAAACAAGGCTGGGATGCCCTGGGAGAACACCCTTGTCTAACTCTGGGTGACAATCTCTATATGGAGATGCGCCTCCATATAGATGGGCATCTGCTCATCAAATGTTGTTCACTCCCCAGTTCCAGTAAGTTCTATGCATCCAGCTTCCTCATTGGTTCTCCTCAGAAAGTCACTCCCCCTTCTCTCTCCCATTGGTCCCACCTGTGTCACCCCACTCCAACTCCTCCCCTAGGCCCATTTCCCATTGGACTGTTTGTACCCTGATTCGTCTTACCCTTCCACTGTTATATGTCCCAGCCCGTCCCTGCTTTCTGCTCTTGGCTCCTGGTTCGTTTTGGCAGAGGTTGTGCTCCTGTTTGTTCTCTTCACCCTCCCGCCACCTGGACCCCTGGTCTGTCTCCAAATAAACCCTGCTGGATTTGCCAAGCCAAGAGTCCTCTTGTCTGTCTGGTGAGGCTGTCATTATGTCATTGGGGCTCAGGCGTCTGGTGGGAGTTGTCAAAGCAGCCCGAAGTGGAGACGCTCTCGGTGCTGCAGGCACCCTGACAGCACCTGCCTGGGGAGGCTACTCTGGTCAGTCTTACAGCTGGCGCCCGAACAGGGACCCTGGGCAGCCGTCCACTCCCGAAGAGTGAAGCCCATCGAATACGTGATCTTTCCTTTCCAAGAAAGGAAAGCGCCATTTGGGACCAGCTCCAGGAGGAGCTTTTCTTTCATTGTTGGAAGATTGTGTCTCCTGGCCTGTCGGCACCCCTTTGGATTCCTGAGTAAACACTGCAGCTTCGGGGAGGAAGCTTCCAGGACTCAGAGGACCGGCAGGAACCCACCACCCCTTCCAAGGTTTCCTTCATATCACCAGTGTGATGAGTGATGCAGCAGATGCTGCCAAGTGCCTTGGGATGGCACCACACACAGGCTCATTTCTTTTCAGTTAACCTTAGCCTCATGGAGGGAGTTTAAGGTTTGTGGGAAAAATGGGAAATTGGTTATCCCCAGCCCAACAAAAAATTTATACCCAAGTTAAGGCAACCCTGATGATTGAGGAAGTTTCTTTTAAAAAGCGGGACCTTAAGGCTTTTGTTCTTTTTGTGTTTCAACATTTTCCTGATGCCT